TCTAGTTTCGCAAATCTAATCTCATACTCTTCCATATCCTGTCTTAACTTTGCATTCTCAGCTTTAACCTCGATATTCTCAGCCTCGACCTCAACAAACTTCTTTCTAAGTTCAGCAATCTGGTGAACGAGATCAGAATTTAATTCTCTCAATGAATCGATTGTGGATTGTGGATTTTCCATTATTTTACATAAAACGTGGTTATATTCAAAAGTTTAATCACATAAAAAATATTGGTGTGTAAAATCGCGTTAACGGGCCTTTGCTTTATTGATTGTAATAAAATCGAAAAGAATAAAAAATCTATCTATTCTTTCTATACTATTTCTACACTATAAATTTTTCATCCGTCTAAACTATCTATGCTAACACAATAATTTTTAGTCCGGTTCATTGTTACCGATATTCTGAATAATTAAAATGGTTATCAGTTATACCTAAACGAAACATGTACTGTCAAAAATGAATTAAAAATCCTGCCAATTTGTTCCAATAATTGTTGGTGAGTTAGTCGTTATCGGTATCCGTTATCTGGCAGTAAACTAATTTATCTTTTTCGAGCCTGGAGAAAAACCCGCTGAAAGTTTATGTTTCCTGCCTTCTGCGATGCTAATAAATATCATGGAAATCTGTACGTTGACACGTAGTAATACAACATCGATAACTATAAACACTACTTTTTTTTACTTTTTTAAATTTTAACTCCCGCTTTTTTTTTTCCTAGTCAAATATCGATTACTAAAAAGGCGGACAATAATTATGAAAAAATGATTTATAATGATATATCAATTGATTTCTCTTTCAAAAACTTTCCCACATACTTGCAAAATAGCTAAAGATGTATGGCTATTACGACTCTTGCCCGTCTAATTTTAACAGAATTAGCAGGATTAACAGACCAGAGTCAAGTGGTGTGTGATTTTTAACTTTGTTTCAAAATCTCTTGAGGGTAGAATAATGACAGTACATTTTATTATAGAGAGCGCCACTACTTCCAATACATCCACTACCCCAATTACCTCCATTTCATCGAATCAAAGGTAAATAAATATTGCAACTGATACTTCATGTCTAATTTTTTGGCTAACTGGAACCATTTCTTTGTAACAACAGCACTTTTGATGTTCATAAGCCTGATGAAAAATTATCAAAGCTCCGCCAATTATGGTGGGAGGAGGGCAACATACACCCACAAGCGAAATGGGAAGAGGCCGAGTAAGTTCCATCATGCTTAATCTGATGTTAACTGATATTTTACGAACTAGTAACTCATATAAACCAATTTTCGCTTATTACATAAGACTTCCATACATTCTTGCTGAGGGAATTACATTAGAGGAGTACGAAGAACGCACAGACAAGTTTAACATCCGTGGTCTTTGGGAATGGGTCGATTATAAAGTCATTATTTACGAAATTCCAACAAAGCACCACGAAACTTTTATTACTTCGATCTCTACAGAAATTATGATGCAATGTGCTCTTGTTAGAGGAACTGATGCCAGTATCATTGGTCTTGGCGCCATTCGTAACTATTAATACACCAACTGTCTCAGCCTTATGTTTTTAATATTAGATTAATCTTTGTTTTTCTTAAGGAACTCGAGCTGACAATTCTGGCAAAGAAGCCGATGCATGTTTTCGCCCTTCAAAACCCCTGGTGCAATCACCAAACGGGAGCGATGGAGAGGTACCTTCTTTATATTTGTTTTAAACTCTTCAGCACAGAGTTTCATATTTTTCATGATTTCAGAAAGAACCTTGGCCAAATATTGTCGTTGAAGTTGCATATTCTGAGAGCGAACAACATGTCCTGGAAAAGGTGCATAATTATTGGTTACGTAATCATAGTCGTGTCCATGATGCAATAGTCATCAAGATCGATCCAGTTTCTGAGAAGTACGAACCGCCTACACGCATGCAGGTAAGTTATATTTCCTAAGGTGCATGTGACATTCCAATGTTTGCGTCATTCTAAAGAATTTAATCAATTGTAGGCATGGCACTTTTGCATCAGAGACAAAGGAGGTGGAAACAGAGATATCCCACATCGAACTTATGTAATGTCACAAACAAAAAATAATTTCCTTTTTTATCAATATTTTAAAATTTCTAACGTAATGTTTAATTGTTAGTTCGAATTTGGTACACATGACGAACGTGGAAATCCAACGAACATTCGACGAGGCCAATGTATTATCAATATTTCTCTTAGTTGTTTGTATCATGATGCGTTTCTAGAATTACAATTCCTCAACAATTTCCGGATCCAATTGTATTGGATTTTTTTAAAATTCAAGAATTCCTCCGTGCGTATGAAACCTGTTAACAGAAGTGAAAATAGGATGAAAATTATCACAACAAAATATAGAATTCACATAATTTATTGCATGATAATTAGAATAGCTTTAAATTTATAAACAAATTCCAAAAGTGAGTGATACTGCATTGCGGAAGAGAATGGAAAGAGCTCGGAAAATATATAAGCTTTTTACTGCTATTGTTAATGGTGATGAAAAAATGGCAAAACAAAAAATAGCACTAATTAGATCGTTTTCGTTGTATTCTATTTCAAACTTAAGCCAGAGCGATTTAGCATTGTTATATTCGAAGTCAAATAAATCTTATTTGTAATAATACCCAGAATTCGGGAAAATTAAGTTATGTATATATTATCCTTGTTAGCTTTACTAATTATTTACCACAATAGCGAATTTCCATATTTCACGAATTCGTGCATATGATACATTATATTTCTTAGCTAGATTCGGTAATTCATTTGTTGTACCCTTAGCAGTAATTATATCGCTAACTGCTTCGGGTGATAAGCGTGTAGCACCTGATTATCATTTTTAAGATTTTATTGTTACAAAAAATATTTTATATGTAAAAATTATTGATTTGATTTGATTTGAATAACTGACGCAGTCTCACTTTATTTCATTTATATGTAGAAATTATTGATGATTCTTTTGAAATGACAAAATGATCAACAATAATTTTAATCATTTTTTAGTTGTATCTAAGTAAAGTTCTGATCTTAACTAGAAAATAACAAATATAATATTAATAAACATTATAGACTTAGTTTAAGGCTATAAGTTCTTATAAGATATATTATACTTCAGATAGATAGTTATTGAAAATGAGAGACATTACAATTAACAATTTGATTTACAATTTTTGGATAATTTTATTTAAAACAAGATTTCTGTTCAAGCAAGTATCCAATTTTAATAGAAAAGATATTATATAATAACTATTAATCAGAAAATCTTTTTAAAAAAAAGTTTACGCAATTTAAATTATTCCTTGTGTCACAATTTGTCCTTGAAGTTTATTGATAAATTTGATAAAAAAACAATTATCCAAATACTTTTAGCAGGTTGGTGTATAATATATCTGATATCATATCTTTTGATATCAAAAAATCTGAAAAATACAATAGATAAAGAATTATTTTTTTTCTTTCTTTCTTTCTTAAAAAAAAATATTTTATTTAATTAAATTAGAATAGTTAGAAAAAATAAAATATTTTTTTTTAAGAAAATAACAAAATCAAAAAAAATAACAATTTTTTTTTGTTCCATTAAAATATTAAAAAAAAAAACAAAAATAAAATTTCAAATAAAGATAAACTAATTAATTAATTATCAGTTTATGATATAATTATGACTAATATATAACTAATATATATAATATTTATAAAATATGAACAAGTAGGTCAAATATTTATCAAAATACTTAATAAAAATAATAAAAATAAAAAATTATTAACAAAAATAATAAAAGGAAATTCAAAAAAAGAAATGAATCTTCTTCTTCTTTTTCTTCTTCCTCTTCTTCCTCTTCTTTATCCTTTTCTTCATTCTTTTCATCCTCTTCTTTATCCTTCTCCTCATTATTATTATCTTCTTTTTCTGCTGATGAATTTTTGTCATCAACAGATGATAAATCGTCATCATCTGAAAAAGAAAAAAAAAAGAAAATGATAAAATATTTGAATTTTGAATCCTATAAGTAAGTTAAGGTAAAATCAATTTTTTTTTTTTAATTTTTTATATTATACATATATCAGGTATAGAATAACTAATACAAATTTATATAATTATAGAAAGAATTATTTTTAATCTATAAATCAAAATATAAAAGCAAATATCCAATAAAGACAAAATATACGTGACTGGAATGATATTATTGACTGTGATCTGACCTTCAAAGGATACGATTAACTATTAGCTAAAGGTACAGTAGCTAAACTAAAATATAATAAACTACTAATTAATTTATACTAAAAAATAATATGATTGAAGGATTTAGATGTTACAGATTTGTTTGAAAGAGAAAAGCTATGAGATTTTTATAAGTGTAACAGTTTCGTTGTCACATCCTCTACGTAGTTATATTTACTTTATTTCATTTTCTATTTTATTATACTTATCTT